AATTTGGATCAAGAATCTAATTATAACTTATAATTCAAGCATAACAGTTGACTTGGACAAAATAATCTAAAAAAAAAAACATTAGCTAATTAATCAATGTCTGTCTTTGAATTAATTGTTTATTTATAAATTCATGTGGCATAATAAATGCTAAATACAGTTTCTTCTTAAAATATTAATTAAAATAAAAATATTATTTTGGTTCCTATTTATTTAAGTCTCTAATTTTGTATGAGAATGAGCTATATCGACTTTTTATTTTAAAATTTGGGGTTTAAATTGCTTAAAAAAGTCACTCTAAAAATATAATAAAACTCATTTTTATTATTTAATATTTATAATAAAATGGTGGTATTGTCCCAATAAACTTGGTTTGAATAATAAAGAAAATTAATATTCAAATTAAAATATATAAAAAGTAAATAAATGGGGAAAAAAAGCCTTAATTATAATAATTTATAAATTAAATTAAAATATAAATAGATGAAAATGTGAAAGATAAAATAAATTAATGAAAATTACTATTTTCCATTTGATTTTTAAATTTCTCTAATATATTTTAATGCTCGTATTTAATTAAGTTTTATAAATCTCTTTAATTATAAAATATGTTTAATATATAAATTATTCTAAAAAAAGTACCATTGGGCCTAACAATATTGGCCCAATTTATTTAGGCCCAAATAAAGCCCAAATCAGTTCGATGGTCCACTTTCACAAACCGAGACCACTGGTTCGGTTTATGGGTTTAGAAGAAAAAACCCGAAAAAAATCCGATAATTTTAATAATTAATTAGAAAATAAGAAAACAGGAAAGCTGGAGAAGCCAGAAGTTGGAGTGAAGCCCAAGCCATCAATAGCTATACTATAAACCAGTGCGTCGCTCGTTTCCCGCATTCTTCTCTGCGATTCAACTCCCTCTTCTCTCAGGTTTGGATTTAATCTTTTCTTCAAAAGTTCAGTTCATTTTGTATCTGTGATTGTTTACGATTAGGGTTTTGGATTGGGATTGTGTTTATTTTAATTTTGATTTCGGTAAGAACATTTCCGATCGTCCTGGTTGACAATTCTTTTCCTTCCTTTTCTCATGTCACAGAGATTCTTATAATTTGATCGGGGAAAGCTTGAGTTTCGGACCAGATGTCGGTGCGTTTCTCTTCTTAGCATTACTGCGTTTTTTTTCCTGGAAGTATTAGCTAGTGTTTAGTTCATGCATTTTAATGATGGAATATTATTGTAGATCTTTGAGTATAATGGAAGTGCTGTTGTTGCGATGGTGGGGAAGAATTGCTTTGCCATTGCTAGTGATCGTAGGCTTGGTGTTCAACTGCAGACTATTGCCACGGATTTCCAGAAAATTTACAGGATTCATGATAAGCTGTTTCTCGGCCTTTCGGGCCTTGGTACCGATGCTCAGACAATGTATGTTTTCTGTGGTTGAATCGATTTTTTGGTTTAATTTTCCATTTCCTAATTCCTTCTGCCCTTGAAATGAAGGTATCAACGGCTTGTCTATCAGCACAAACTGTACCAACTTCGAGAAGAGAGGGACATGAAGCCGGAGACATTTGCTAGCCTGGTCTCAGCTCGTCTTTATGAGAAAAGGTTGGACACCTACTTAGTTTTTATTTTCCTCCTTTTCAGCGGTTTTAATTATGCGTATTCTCTATGTTTCAGCCTTGACTAGAAAACATGGGCGCGATATCTTTAGGATTTTCATAGCTTCTTTTGTGTGTGTGTTCTTTTTTTCTGTCTACCAATGTGATTCTTTTCTGTTGGTGGAAGATTGTAAGCTGATTTGATAGAGATGTTGCGTTGCACTAAGAGCCACTTGAGAGTTTATGACATGTGAACCTTCTATGCAGTACAGTACAGATATGCAGTCAAACCGCGTTATGGAATTGATATATGTTAAACTGATATGCAAGATATTATGTACTTTATTTAAAATAGGGTTACAAGTTGAATTGCTGTATAGTTGAAATGTGGATAAACTAAAGAATTGTATTGGATTAAGTGTCTTCGTCTCAAGATAGTTCTTAGTCTCTCTCCTAGCTTTCGGAGGAAACATAAACTGTTGTGGGATAATCACAATTGGTAGAGTTAACCTTTCCTCTCCTTAGTTTGTAAGTTAGCTTTTATTGCATGACATGAATATACCAAAAGCTTAAGTACTATTTCCAAGATTCAAATGCTTGAAATTTGGTCTTCTCAATTTTAATGAATGGTCCTCGGTACCACACTAAACTATTGTCTCCATTACGCTCTTTGTAGAACTCGCCATGATGAAGTCGTGTTATAATTGGATTGGAAAGTAGTTTTAGTTGGTAATCCATGGATATAAATGTGCAAGGGTTGAGTTTATAATTTTTTTTTTTTTTTAAGAGGTTGAGTTTTGTAACTGTTATTTTGCCTTTTTTAGCTCTGATAAAAAAATCATGTACCGATTTTCTTATTTGTAGGTTTGGTCCATACTTCTGCCAGCCTGTAATTGCTGGATTGAGTGATGAAGACAAACCCTTCATTTGCACGATGGATTGCATTGGGGCTAAGTGAGTTCTCTCTTTTTTTCTTTCTTTGTCTATTCCCTACTTCATTATTTTGTTGGATTTGAATTTCTGCTTAAATCATTAATATGGCTTTCTTCATTTTTGTTTGAAATGTGCATCAAACTTGAAGTTGCATCCTCTGCAACACGTTGTAATGAAATCTGATTTTTGGGACAAATATTTTTCTAGATTTAGGACAATTATTGCAAAACTAATACGTTGTCAAATTCATTGTCCCAGAGAGCTTGCTAAGGATTTTGTTGTTTCTGGCACTGCATCAGAGTCCCTTTATGGTGCTTGTGAGGCGATGTTTAAACCTGACATGGTATGTTGGTATAATCCATTTGCATATGCTTTGCATTTGTCACTGGGATTCTAAATTTCTTTGCATTGAGAAAGAAATTGATTTCAGTTGCCTGTTCGTTTAATCTTTTCGATTTAACAATCTACCATCTCCATAGGAGTGCTAGTGTTTTGGGTCAGGTCAATTTGTTGACCAGATGGATACTGACAGTTGAATGTAAGATATCTAAAATAACTTGTTAGCCAGTTCAGTTCAGTGTTGGAATCATAGAAGAAGGATTAAGTGTATACCCATAAAAGGAAGAGGTAGAGAAATTAGTGCATGTCTGTGGTAGAGGGAAAGAGAATAGAAAACTGAAGTATAAAAGAAATAATAATTCAATTAGAAACGTTCACCAATCACTATCTTTCCTGTTGGAGTTGGAAAATCAGACATAATCATTGAACAAAGGGATCGATAAATCTCATGGATTGAATTGTTACAAAAGAGGACGGAAAATGAAAATTGTTTGGTTATGGATAGTCACGCAATGGACTGATGAACGCATGAAGTGATGTAAAAATCTGACTATTGAGGTTTCTGAAGAGGAGATGGCCAACATGACGATTTCTCTGAGTAAGAGTGATTGAAGATTAAGACACATATATAGAAGTGGCGCTGTGGTCTTGACAGTTGAAAATATTGAAAACTTAAACCAACCAACTTATGGGTTTTGTTTTTTTATAGATCTGGAAAAACCAAAATTAAGTTAACCAACAGACCTTTCTTTAAATTAACTTACAATTTTTGTTACAGTCAGCATCCTTAGTTCATTGGGTGTGTCTTTGCGCCCTTAATTATCCAGTTGTGAGGCATTGGTTCTGAAAAACAAATCCAATTCTTGCTGTTTTGGATTTGTAATTGAACATCTCTCGTTAGAATGAATAGCCACTGTAGTTTATTTTACCTGATTGTGCCAAGAGCTCCGCATGATCTTCAAAATTTTCCTCTTGATAGACAGCCTAAAATATTCTTGTTGGGGTAAAAAAATTCCCGCCTTAATTTTTTTGTGAAATCTTAACCATAGAATTAACTCTGTCGATTCAATTTTGTAATGGCCAGGAACCAGAGGAATTATTTGAAACCATCTCTCAAGCGCTGCTGTCTTCTGTTGATCGGGACTGTTTGAGTGGATGGGGAGGGCATGTCTATGTTGTGTAAGCCACTTATTCTTAATTCTCGATTTTTAATGGTTGATATTATCTCTCTGGATAGCTTATTGGTGTGTGTGTGTTTTTCTAAGAAGTGGTTTGTTGTGAATTGTGATTATTATGGTTCACGTTACCTTGGATGAAATAATAATATTTGTAACAGAATATTACCTTAATACACCGTTTCTTATAAAAAAAAAAAAAAAATAGTAATAATAATGATGATAATACTTTTAACAAAACCTGTCATATGAGGAAATGTGTGCAATTTATTAACTGTTTTAGAGGTACGTTGGTTTCCTATTTTTTTAAATTATGCTTGTTTTCTTACCCTTTTTTTTTTTTTTTTTTTTTT